CTTCCACTCTGTGAATCTGTGACATAGCTTGAAGTGTTTCCTGCATTTGATTAGCCTCTGCTTTCCTCTTTGGACACCCCTTTCTGAGCTCAGTCACACTGCAGTTCACCTGATCTGTGTTTAGTCCAGCTGGCCCCTCTCCACAGTCAACAAACACTACATTATCAACAAGAAACTGGAGGGGAGGGGAAGCGAATGCTCTTTTGTGGCTTGAGGTCTTAGACTGTTATGGGCAACCAGCTGAAACACCCATCTCTGCAGCCCTGACACTGCCTGCACAAGGAAGTCTGAAAACACCTATCATACTAACGTGGGAAAAGCAAGCCTCCCGGCTCCGAAAGGGATAACCAGGATCTTACCTTATGTAATGCTTCTACCACTCGTACCACATCATAAAATATCACCACCGTCTCCCGCTCGCTGAGTCTCTTCTCTTTAATGACATAATGCTGCAGATTGATCAGATCCGCTGTTTTGTCACTGAAATCGTGAGCACAGAGACAATCTAACACGAGACAAATGCGCTTCTTCATTTTTCTGACCATTCTGTTGGCTTCTAGATCTTCTATGATTTCACAAGCTCGGTCCTACAGGAAGGCAAACAAAGGAGCAGGAGTTCAGGGAAGCTGTCCGGGCACACGTACGTGCACATGGAGCACTAGAGAATAAATAACTCTATGGCAAATGCAATCACAGCACTTGATCTTTACCCCGAGTTGGGATTTCAGAAAGATACATGATCTCTACTTAAAAAGCCAGAGAAAGCCTGTGCTGTTTGACTCTGCATACGGCAGCACTGACACTGTTTATACACAGATACCTTTAGCTAAAGCCTAGAAAAACTCTGCGGTGGAAGAGACGGAATCCTAGGGATCCGATGTGTTATTAACGAGAAAAACAAAAGCCTTAAGATGCAATTAACAGTTCTTCCACAATTTTAAACAGGACACAGCCGAGCTGGACACTTGGCTTATTTAAGACAGAGCCTCAAGTGTAAAGTCTGTTGACAAAACGTAAGCAGCGAGCAAGGCAACACCGACATCCAACCCAGAAATTCCTATCAGCCCATCGCATCCATGAACAGCACCACAGTTCACTCACAGGAGACACAGATCAGCACACTGACTAGTTTAACTTGCTGAAAGTTTCCTGACAACCTGGTCCTTCTTACAAGTCACTATAAAACAGTACAGGGACTGGAAGGCCCAAATTCCGTTCTCAAGGGTGCTCCACAGGCACGAATTAATCTGCCAGTGAAGCAGCTATGTCACTACTCCAAGGGGACACTACCAAGCACCTATCCCACGTCTGGATGCTCTCACGTTTCCCAAATCCCAGAGTTACATCCCACTCAAAAGTCACCGCCAAAAACTTGCTTGTTTGAAGCAGAGAAGGTTAATCAGAGTGGTGTGCTGGTAATTCTTTACCCAGAACGGGGTCAGCACAAACTGTACGTCAAACAAAAGCAGCTCAAGCCAACGGCAAGTGCTGGCATTCCCCCAGCCTGGATGGAGACCAGCTGTACCTGGAAGAGCCCGTGATGATGAACCACTCCCTCCTGGTTGTGGAGCAGGGAAAGGAGAGAATACTCCGTGTGCAGCAGCATCTTGCCTTGGCGTTCCTCCTGCGTTTCTATTCCTTTATCACCCCTTTCTTCTAAGGTGAGAATCTTTGGGAAAAGGGAAAAGACCTTTACAGCCCCCAGAAAAACCCAAAAGCCCTCCCAAACTCTCAGGTTTTAGGTGTTCACACACGTTTAAAGCTGACGTAAGTCCTCTGATGTTTGCATACTGACCGCAAACCTGTCTGAACCAACATCTGCGCAGAACGCATCGCGGGAGCCGGAGGGACACGGCAAAGCGGCTCAGGTGGCTTTCTGCAAACATCCCAGGCGATTTCGCCCCCCACCGCAGCCACCCCCGTCTCAGGCGCAGCGGGGGAGATCAGAGGGCTCCAGCAGAGCAGCGCGGCAGCCACGCAGGCTAATCTCCACCCCACATCTAGCCCGGCAGAGCCGCCCCGCCGAGGGGAAGTTCCAGCAGCCATTTCTGACCGCGCGCCCGCGCAGCCTACACCGCGCGCTACGGCAAGCGTAAGCGAAGAGCTCCCAAGATGTGGAAACCCTGCAGTTCGCTTACCTTCAGCTGATAAAAGTCATCTGTCCCATCCTTTCTTGCCAAACACTGAACAATACTTGGCACGGGGGAGTTACCTAAACGTGGACCTAACAGCACAAAGCAAAAACAGGCTTGTTTTCCTTTAAGCAGCAATGACTAATTCGGGGTTACATCAGTATGCAAGTGTCACGCACTCTACACTAGCTTCAACTAAGTTCCTTTTTTTTCCAGGAGACCACAAATTTTCCCACAAATTGGGATCTAAAGAAAAAAAAAAAGGTACGGAACACAAACCTTTTTGGACAAGGTTTCATTTGCTCACTGGAGAAACATTTAGCAGAAGCCCACACATGGCACAGCTGTTTGCAGAAATTCAAATTGCTGCATGCCTGAACCACACGGCTTTTACATTCACTAGCAACACCCCTGGCAGCTATTACCACACCTCTGAACCCAACTGCCACCTCTGCAGGCGAGCAGATAAACCCAAATTTCATGTCAACATACAGTCTCCACTCTTCAGTGCAAATCAATCAGCTTCCAATTGATTATCCGTTGATTTCCACTGTGAAGTCCCTCATGGTTTTGACTGCTTCTGTAACGAGTTCTGAACCAACAGGTCTTCTAGCAACTCTCAGGAGGCAGCAGAGTGGTTTTGCCTTGGCACATGCCGTGTCTGATGACCACTACTGCATTATTAAGCTGCCCACGTGCTGATTTGACAGCACAGCCCAGGCAAGTAGGGTTGAACATCTTCCCAGATCCCTCACTGAAGAGCCCCCGAAATTAATTTGCTGGTTAACAAAGTTTAAAAATGTAGTTTTAAAAAAGGGCAAGAGCGAGGGCTCATATTTACCATAAAAGCCATGCCTGCCTTGCTGTACCAGCATCACCAATCTTAGCTTGACCAGCTGCAGGGGCTACTGCTCTGCTACGCCAAGTGAATCGCACTCTGAGGTAAGACCCTAAATCACACATCTGCTTTGCCTCGTTTTACAGCGCCTTTTATTTACAGTTTTGCAATCAGCAGCTACCTTGAAAACTGAAGAAAATCCTCCCTGCTTACCTAGTATAAAAGGGCCCGCTCTCTTGGCATTATTTCCAGAAATCCCTGTACAAAGAGCTTTTGCCTTAGTGGATGTTTCCCCAGCTCCTCTGTCTGATGCTCGCCGCTTCATCCTTGGCTCTTGAAAGAGAAAGAAGATCACCTTTGATGAGCAACTGAGTTAATTTCTTATACAAGCCCTTATGTCGTAGTGGAAGGCTTTCACCTACTGATGCACTCGTGTCTCTGCCTACTTGTGTTTCTACAAGAAGCTGTGGCTCTTTACTGATAGACCAGTTGTGGGCTGGAGGCTTAATGCATTTTGGAAGGTGTAAATCAGCCTCATTATTCACCACAACATTTCCTAGAACAGTTGTTTGAGAGACACAGTGGGAACAAGGCAAAATAATTAAAGCTTGTTTTACAGCAAAAACAAGTTTACAAATTAACATATGCCAAAAAAACTCCCTAAGATGCCTAAGTTATCCTTTGGTACGGGTATGTGCTGGTTCAGCCTATGGACTTATGCAGACAGCTCCCACCAGGCAGCGCAGTCAGCTCACCCAGTAACTCAGAAGGCTCAAGTCTGTTCCTCAACCAGCCAGAACACACAGAACTGACTGTAAAAGCAAACAGTATCTTTCACCTTTTCCAGCAAGGGCATAAAAGACTAAAGTGTGCTAGATACTGCGGGATTTGGTTAGTTAATGATTTTTCAAAACCGTATTTTCAGTCTCACAATAAGTCCCACCTCTCTCCTTCGTACCTCTTCAGGCTCTAACCTTTTTATTATGTTATCCTCCACCTACACTCAATACAGCTGGAGTCTGAGTCCAACATACAAACCTGTCACCTCACTCCCCATGTGCAGGACACGATGCTTCGTTTTGAATTAACACACCACGTCCTGCCTTCAGCGGCCATTCCAACGAAAGGGAACGCTGAGGTGCCAGTACGCGTGCCCTTGGCACTCAATAATTCTCCCGTGCAAGGAGGGGTAGTGCAGATCTCATGCTCTGCATCCATGTATCTGAGCTCTGCACATCACAGCTCAGCACAAACAACCTAACCCCTACGTATTCAGGTACTGCAGAAAGCCTGATTTCCAACATGCATTTTCTGCTGCTCAGAAACCTAGAGAGCATCTGAGGTGGCACTGCAGAACCAATACCTAAAGGGCCAAATAAATTCCAGCCTCTGTGACTAAACCACTTCTTCCCCAAAGGAAAGTCTTGTTTCAGTTTAGCAGGAGAAAAACCTCGGTGACTGCTGCCAGGACGGCCTTCACGTGCTGCATGCTCACTGCAGGCGCAGGTCAGCTCCGTCAGACTCAAGTTTTGCTCCAAATACACCTCCCTCTTTGCCTTGAAACTATTTTCCAAGAGATAAAAGACCTTCACAAATACCTGGACTTTATAACTTTTTATCTTTCAGAGGGGTGGGGAAGGTGGAAGTAGGCACAGATCCTTTCTCTTGCTTTGAGCAAGTGAAAACCAAGCCCCAAGAGTCTTCCCTAAGAGGTTACTACAGCAGACTGGGCAAGTATTTTGGGGTCGTACTTATTTGTTTTAAAAAAGCCCCAGCGTTTCACCACACGAGACCGATAAATCACCGCACTGAGTGAAGTTCACCCGCTGGCAGTCCCACCCTTTCTGGGGACACAAGCGTGACTGCATCGCATGAATTCATCTCGCAGTACCTGTCACCAAGATCAGGGACAGCAGGAGAGAGAAGGTGAGAAGTCTCATGGCAGACTTCACCTCCCCACGCTACCAACTTCCACCAGCACGTCCGACAGAGGAGCGCTTCCAGGCCCAGCTCACCGAGCAAAGTCCTAAGCCCCGTACGTTCCTTCTGTGCATTCCGCATCCCTGACCTAATATTTGATTGTGCCTTATAAAATCCTCCGTTCTTTGCAACATCATCGTCCCTGCTGGAAACGTATGAGTAAGATTTCCACGGGAGAAACCCCACTGCTCAACTTCTGAGATAATGACCGTTGCACAACCCGAGCTGGAGAGGAACTGCTGGTGCAAACGGCGTTACCGTAAACAAAATCATCCGGGGACTCACGTAGTTCAGCATCAACTGTATCTTTACTCTTCTTCCAAACTAGGTTTTCCAACGTCTCAGGAGATAGGAGTCATCACCTTGGAGAAGGCTGGATGGTCGAAAGGTCGAGGACCCTGCAATGTGAAATGAGATACACTTGATGCTGTGGCTGTGGATTAGTCTCGATTACGATAATGTGGTATGCACCAAAAAATGAGATACACTTGATGCTGTGGATTAGTCTTGATTACAATAATGTGGTACGCACCAAAACCTCCGAGCTCCAAACTTCTGTGTTTATTTTGGCTTCGAAAAGGCCTGAAGCTCCTGATATCATGTGAGAGCATAAAACTGACCTTGAAGTTCAGTTCCCAAAGAGGGACGGATGCATGGCCCTGCACAGCAGGACAGACACGAGCATCAACGCGCTCAAGAGGCATTTTGTGATGCGAGAGCCCTTCCGCCCAGCTCGCCTGTATCTGAAACACAGCCGAGCCAGCAAGGGTGCCACAACAGGGTCATCCCCACGGGGAGCAGTTTTTAATCACGGGAAGAGTGAATGCTTGAAGTTTGGGCTCAGAGAGAACAATTTCTGCAAAAGGCAAAGAATACGTTGATTTTTATTCTTATCGAATCCCCACTGCAAGTTAGTTCCCCTTTGCAATTTACATTTGGCCTCAAAACTAATCAAATTCAACTCAAATTCAGTGCTGCTTAATAGCTCATCTGGCCCCATTTAAAAGGGGAAAACTAGGATTTAAGTCAGAGACTCCAGAATTAAGTCTATACCACCTCGACCAAATGTTTAACCCCTAGGCTGCTGCATGTGTTGCGTATTTGTTAATCCAAGCCTCTGGAACGACGGCCATCTGCCCGGCACCGGCCTAAGAACAGTATTTTGAGACTGGGTTTAAGGAAAATCTTGCCACAAGAACAGCAAGACGGGGCCTCACACTCCCTGTCCAGCCATTGGGCGTTTTCTACCTGCAAATTCGTTTCATCCTGCCTCGGGTTTACACAAAGCTCTGATTTCGAGGGGTTTTGCCACTGGAAGTATTCACAATGTGAAGCTGCTGTTGCTCAGCCTCTGAACCACAGGCTGGAAGAACCAGCTTTAAGTAAGTTTTAGACAAAAGCCATGACAAACTGCACGGCTTAAGACAACTGTGCAGCTGGAAGCCGACAGATTGCTCACACCCCATAACGATGGGGGTCCCGTCCCACGAGCAGCGTGTGCCAAAGCCACCTGCCATCCCACTCAGAGCATCCCTGGGGATGCTGCTGGGCCTTCCCGGGAGAGGCTCACGCTGAGCACGTGAGAGGGATTCCTGCACTACACAAACAGCCCAAAGTTGGGAATTTAGGACTGACAACGTCCCAAAGTTGGGAATTTGGGACATTTCCATGAGAGGCGATGAGCCTTGTAATGGCAAAGAACATCCCCCAGCCCTTGCAGCAATGTTTTTGTCGACAGGTAGCTCCCCACAGCCAGGGCTTTCCCGTTCTTCAGACTGGAAGGGAAAAAATTTTAACATCAGCAGGATCAGTCTCCAGGGAGAGGATCCAACATTTCTGCCACGAACCGGAACAAAACCACTTATCCCTTCAAACACTGCATCCTAGGAACAGGACGGTTAGATACTGGTGTGGTGGGTTCACCGCCCCCTCTCCCAAAACCCCAACGGTACAGACTGAACCGAGCCTCCCCCGCTGCCCACCCCACCATCTGTAACAAAACCCGGTCTCTCACACAAAAAGTGAGCTTACAAATCCAGCACAAAATTCAACACTTCACAGTTTTCACGTGAGGCATGCAGTATGTCAAACAGCTTACTGGAGAAGGGTCTAAAGCCTCTTACTGTGCTAGTTGTGACTTTAATAGAATTATTAACCAAATCATTTGGAGGCCTAGATGTAACATCTCTTAATTACACGGCTTAAGGAAATTGTCCAATTCCCAAATCACCGCATGACGTTCCAGTGCCTGGTCTAACAAAGCAAAACAAGAGAGGAGGAAACGGACCTTTCCATCTCGGATTAAAGACCCAGCAGGTCCTGCAGTCACAGCTAAAAGCTGGAGCATAGGGGAAAAAAAAAAAAAGTACCTTTGGGGCGTTAACAGGATTAGTCAGCAGCACAGAAACTAGTTCAGACACTGGAACAGCTGATACAACCTCCACGAAAAGGGGACAAAATGAGCTGGTATTTAGATTTTCTAGTGTGATGACCGGCAACGCCGGAGGTGTCCAAAAAAGTAGGGGTAGGTCTCTGCAAGTAAGGCAACGGGATGAGCTGGAGGATGGAGCCCACCAGCATCTGCTGGACGTTCAGGGCTACAGAGGACGAGCTCCTTCAGCAAGGAGCTCTTAGCAATAAAGGGAACCTGCCTCCGGGAGCCCAGGTACCGCAGGAGCAACTCCCGGGCAGCTGAAGGAGCCACGGCTGTTCCCACTCACTCAGCCACCAGCACCCGAAACCTGCCTG